GAAGAGCGGCGATTGCAGCGCAACGCGCGCAACCATCCGCCGTGTGTCCGCCCGTTTCTGGACTCTACGGCTTCTTCGCACGACCGTCCAATAAAACGTTCGTGCCTGTAAAAACTGCTGATCGACTTGATTCCGACACGTTTTCGAACGGATTTCACATCGCCGCGGTCTTGCGGAAACGGCTCTTCCGGCCGCGGCGACGAAAAGAATTCTCTCTTCGTTGGATGCGCGTTCCGTAGGAGAGAATGCGGAACGTCGCGGGCATAAATCCCATCGAACGCAGTCGGTATACTTAATTGCATCGTTATCGGGATAATTAGAGCAATACACCGGTGGATTCATACCCCGGCCACGTATCATTACAAATTACACGGTATTTCGTTCACGGGGCTACACACATCTCCAGTGGTAATTCTCAATTTCGTTCGAATACGATCTCTCGATCGCGTGACACTTTTCTTTCTGTGCCTCGATCGAGATCGTCCCGATAGCACGGCAGATGGTTAAGAAAAGAAACATTGCCACGGTACGGAAGATCGTTCGAAATCGTGTCGAGGATCGACGATCGTCCATACCCCCAGATAAATTATCTTTAATTCCGTCGATGAAAATGCGAAACGATCGAATTCATCGAAGGAAATTCATTGTACACGCGCCCGTACGTTCGATACGGTCGCGTGAGGCATATGGTGTCACCGCGGTGAAACACTTGCGACAATTCGAAAGTAACGTCCATCGAGTGCCGATTGTGTCACCGCGGCCACCGTGTCATCACGAGGCTTTGTTCGATCGACGATACAACGCGGAAAATCGAAGCTCCATCGTGAGCGCAGTAGTGACTTCTCGTGGCGTTGTAATCGATTTCGAGAAAAAAAAAATCGTTAACCGGCCGGAAATTCGTGATCGACCAGAATAATCGTCTGCTTTTATATCCGCTTAGGTACGTCTTTTTGAGGCGGGCGTGTTAGTCTCGGACATGCATGTTATTTTGTTTTTTTCTTTGTTTTTTTTTACGTAAATTCGGAACACGAGGGAGGATGCACACCACCATCATTGGTCCCCAATGGAGTCGGCGGCTCTTTTTCTGCTACCCGCGTGTCCTTTCTTCTCGGGCCGCTTTACGTCCGCGTTAATCGGTCTCAAGCTGCGCGTATCCCCCCCACACGGTAAGTCCAGAGAATTATATCCCCTTTCTTCGAGCTTCCATTATTTTTTCTATAGACCATCGTGGTAATTCGCGATTACTTCGTCGTCCGGGGGAACCCATTCGACGAACGAACGAACGAACAAACGGGATATCCTAATCGTACGGTTCATTACGAGAGCGCGCGCGCGCTTCCCGCGATGTGACTATGACTGATGCTAAGCCACGACGAATGGCGATGCGCATTACGAATAAATATCGCACTCTTTGCTTCCCGTCCGTGGTCTAATGTGCCCCGCACCGCAGATTGCCGCATGGGTGGGTTTCAAAAACGGAACGGACGTTACGTTTAATTAAATATTCCGCGTCATGCGACTCGACCTGCTCTCGTCGTTCTGGTTTCGCGAGGGGGAAAAATCTATCTGCTTCCGTGTGCAATCAATCCTTCCAAGATACATGAAACATTTTTCGGAATTCAAAGAAAACACGAAGGGGTCATTAGACGTCTATCGAGGTAAAAATCACACAACCACCACCTGGCTCGCGGCCCTTCGACCACATACGGTAACGTTAAATTAATTTCTGCGCGTTCTTGATTGTTCCACCGTCGAGTGTAAATCAACGAACCGCGTTCGTTAGTTCGTCCTAATGTCTCCGTGGTGATCGATAATCGCAAACGGCAGGATAGATCGATCGTTTCGAGGGTTTTGGTCCCGCCCCCGGTGTTAAACGATCAATCAGGACCGTTGACCGATTAACGGAAAGCCGAAATCTATCCACGGAAATCCGTGATTCCGACTAATGGCGGCGGCCGGCGTGAGAGGCAATTCAACCGATTCCGGGCTCGCCATCTATCTTCTGGGCGCGCTGGTAGCGAAGAAAGAAGGCATAATTAAATTAAATTAAGCCCCGGCTGAGCTCTCTCGGCCCTCTCTGTCTCTACCCCCTCCCCATACCGTTCCCCTTTCCTTCTTCATCGCTTCCCCCCGCCGCCGTCGCTCTTCGTCTCGCTGTTCTGCAACCGGCGACGATAGCAGCCGACGCCGCCTTTATTTGCAAGCAATTTGCGCTCGCCGATCGTGCCGCAAAAAATCTGAAAATAATGCCGCCGTATTAATCATATCCCTCCGCCCTTATTCTCTCCTCTTCCTCCCTCGCTTCTGTCTCCCCTCCAGGGCAGCGTGATTCCACCGTGCACCGACATACTTACGCCTCATCCACGCATATTTACGATCAAAAAACCGCGGTGTATCCGTGCGCAGAAGGGAAGGTAGCACAATTTAGCGCACTGAAATCCTTACACACCGTTCTCATTGTATCCTTACAATTCTCTGCGTTCTTCAACCATTCCTATGGTTACTGGAAGAAGATGTTCCATCCGGAATCACTTTAATTCAAAAGCGATTGTCGTAGATTGCAATGGAGGAATTGTATTTATTTCTTGCTGTCGGATAACGTACAGATACCGTACGATACATATTATTTAGAAGAAATAATTCTCCTTTACGCGGGTATTATGCGCACAGACCAAGAGGCCACTGGTCAGTGGATTTCGCGGAAAGACGGATAACCTGATTTCCCGGTTAAGCCGTCACACGGTTAAAAGGAGGGTGGATATTTACACAAGAGGTGTGAGAATCACGGTGAAACGAAATCGCATTCTTGTTTACCAGGTAGTAGTCGAGGCGATAATGCGATGTTCAGGATTTCTTTGGCTTCCTAGCGGGCTCGAGGCCGCTGCCGTACTCGGAGGTGTTGAGCATCCTGACTCTCTTCAGCAACCCCGTGGACGTCGTCGTCGTCCTCGGCTGGTCGTGCGTCGACTTCTTTGCCGGCAGTACCCCGTCGGGCCTGAAAACCCACGGACCGCGCCTTAATCGCGTCGCATTAGGTCTAACCCGCAATTTTCGGTAATTCGACGTAAACGACATGTGGCGTGGACAGAGCGAGGTAATCGAAAATCGACAAAAAACCGGGGGATCCACGTTTCGAAAACCGAGCGATACCATCGTCCAGGCCGCGAGCCGCTCGAATTCGGGGTATAAACTGCCGTGTCGAATTCGCGTCGTCGCGAAGTTTTTCCCACGTCTACTTCGTGTCACTCGGGATTCGTCCTCTCCGACAGAAACGGTCTATCCAACTGTGCGTCCACGGAAATCTTGAATTATGATATTTCTTCCAAGGATTCTTGAAACGGAGCAGGAAGGATCACTTGAGATTTTTAGGATACTGAATGAAATCGTCCATTGTCCCATAATGTGTCGTAGAAAGGATATGATATTTGGACGTGTTCACAGGCACACAAACACACACGATCGTGACACACACCCGCGCAACAATCACGCACGTTACGTGCACACATCGGACCAGGCGTAATCGCACCCACAGAGGCGTACACCATGGGTCTCTCGATCCATTGGACCGTCAGCTCGGTGCCCGCCTTTCACCCATTAAAACGAACTTGTTCTCTCTCTTTCTCTCACTCTTTCTCTCTCACTCTCCACGGGGTGGCGAGCACCCGTCAGTCGTCTGTTCTCTGCCACCGAAAGCAGCACGCCCATTCAAATCGCATTAAACAAGTTAATGCTTAATGTCGGGCCTCGATGTAAGACCCGGTGCGTGTGGCAAAGTGTCGATAACCCTCTCCTTGATTCGTACTCCAGATCATTCGGTGACGTGTATGTATGTAATGAATGGATGTTTGGAATCGCTTAATCGTGAATAACAGATTGAGTATTTAGACAGTGTATTAAGCGTATCAAAGGATGAAGAAAGGTTATAATATTTTAGTATCCAGAGCAAAAAGACGGTATACCTTATCGGAAGTATTGGCAAAGCAACATAATTGACCGAGTGAACTAGTATCGGGGAAACAAAAACAGAGGTTTCGGAGGGGCGAGAGAGCGAAAGGGTGAGGGATTAGTTAAATACGTAAGAGCGAAAAGATAGCCGGCGAAGGGTGCGATGAGGAGAAAATCAGAGAGAGCGGTAATACCCAGCGAGATTTCCACAAAGGGAGTGAGGATAAGAGACACCAGAGAGAGGGGGAGACGAGTGAAGGGAGGCTCGTGCTCGTCCCGTGGTTTCCGTAAATGGCGCAGCCCAGGGGCCGGAAGTAGCGGTCGCATCAGTCTGTTTAATAGCCGTATTGTATAATTATGAACAATGGAGAGATAGAGCGAGAGGTCGGTGTGTCGAGTGTCGGAGAGAGAACAGGAGAAGCCTGGAGAAGGGCAGAAGCCAGCCGAATGCCATGTGAAATGCATACCTGGGGAGAGATAGACGAAGACCCCCGCTGGTTAGAGGGAACACGACCGCTGACATTGGTCGGACGAGGAAAGACGCAGAAGGGGAGGAGGGCGATCCGAGGGAGATGGCGAACCAAACGAGGATGAGCACGACGAGACCCGTATGGCTTATGGCTGCCAGCCACCGTACACCACGTCCGCCCGTTCGTTGTCGGACATGACGAATGACACAAAGCGACAGTTTTGACGTATCTAACCTCTCTAGGAGCCACGAGCTGTCCTCTCCGTTAACGTGTGCGTGTACTCTCAGCCGGCACACGTGGTTGCGTTTGCCAGTTACCGTAAAGGGCCGCGGCAAGAGGGGGGGAAAACGGAGAGGGAGAAATCGGGGCGCATCGCGGTTAACACGGCAAGCCACGCATGAATCCGTCATTAATACTGCGGGAGTTCGCCCCCGTCTCGGCGATTGTCTACCACGGAACCACGATGACCAACAAGCTCTGGTCAGGGAGCAGTCCAACGACGATGATGCTTCCGCTCGACAACACGAATTCTTCGATTTCCGATCTCTCCACTGTTTTACTTTAGGAACGAAAAATATAGGCAGGTGTGTCACTTACCGCTCGTTCGACAGTTTGTTGTTGTGCTGCGGCTTAACGGTGTCTTTCTCCCGAAGTTTCTTCCCGAGTCCACCGATTCGTTGGGGGGTCTCTCTTAACGCGAAGCTCTTCGCGAAGTGGCCCAGATGAAGATCCTTACGATTGAAGATCTCACGCATGTCCCGAGGGTAGCTCGAGTAGAAACGGATCCACGAGATGTACGCTGAAAATCATGTGAGATATCGATAAATAAACTATTTAAGTAGATACATGACAGACACAATACAGAGACAATAAATTAAAACGAGAGATAAAGAACAACTATAGAGATCTATGGTAGCGATTAGGTTATCTACAGTGCGACGGTCGGTCTTTGCAGCCATTTTATTCCACGTTCTCCCGGTGTGTTTAATACGACGCTACAGTGGCCGATAGGTGCTATGAATTTATTGGGAACTTCTACACGAACGTACCAGACCCGTCGACGTGTAAATGAGGCCACGTGCACCGTAACTCGGTTGTAATCATTGGCCGCGTGTGTAGCGCGCCCTTATTAATCGAGGTTCCATTAAGTTCCGCCGGGGGTTAGGCGTACCGCGATTCTATAGGGTGTGTGCCCCGCGGCGAGCTATTAAGAGGCATTAACAGGGGTCGAGTCAAGTGCTGTGGCTAATAGTCACCCCCTTATATCGCCCCCGCCCTTCCAGCGTTCTCCGAGCTCCCGTAGGCGGGTGAGAAACTCGGGGGTTCGCCGATCCTGAGAGAACCTGACATGTGCCAGTGTTACTGTCATTCCGTGCGAAAAATCTATCGTGAAGTACTTCTCTCTCTCTCTCCGAGTCTGCTCTTTGACGGATGAAGCTACTCGAATACAACGCACCCATCGCCGTTATGTATCCAACTTCAAGAGCTACGATTATTAATATCGAGGGAGGTCTGAGAACGGGTGAACGCGAGGCAAAAGTGCCCCCCCACCCCCAGAAGAGGTCCTCCCCGTTCTGTGGGGTGTGGTTTAATTAAATAAAAACCTGGTGTGCCAATGAAAAAGCAACTAATCAAGAGGGGGGGGGGGCAACACTTTCGTCGAGAAAACTTAAACGTCCTTAACTTCGATAAGTTACAGTTCCAGACCTTATGTCCCGACATTTTCCGGCTTGATTTCCGTCTGCCTTCCATCCCAAGACCCGTTTCTTTCGCGCAGAAGAAACTTGCGAAGATCTTTCTCCGGTGGCCCCGGGGTGTCGTCGCGTTGAAAAAGGAGAAATGTTTTTCTCCATTTAACACATAAATCAGCCGCGGGGATGGTATCTAGCCGAGAGCGCAGAGAAACGATGGTAGAGGGAGGGGGTGGTTGAAGAGTGAGCCGCGTGGGGCGGCATTGTTCCTAAGTGATGTAACTGCGTCTTATTGTATTTGTATCCTGTATCGCATTGTTAAGAGTCTCTCGCCACAAAGCGTAAGTGGTTTTGGCGGAAGCCACATTCAGTGGTTGGATTGTGTCGGTCACCCCTCCACCCCACCCCATCGCTGTGAAAGGCGTACAAGCGGTGTAGACTCGATTCGATCTAACTCGTTGAGTACGTTCCACCTTTTTCCGTTCCGATGAAATAATTTGCTCGAAACTTAATTAAACAATCAATTCCGTAAACTGTTCGCTAATAAAAACTATATGCTCTTTGAAAATAGAATCTGCATTAACTGGTCTAATGGTTGTACGCATAAAGACATAGAAAGGAAACAAAAAACATGTAATCCAGGGTCTTTTGTTGTAGTTGATAGGGACTGATGCTTGTTAGAAATATTTCCTGAAAGTTGTACCGAAGAGGATATAACCTAGGAACTGGTATACAGGGCGACGCGTATATACGAGCTGAGTGGATGAATCTCTTAGGCCAGTGGTAGGGGTCGAAGACCAGGGGGTTGTTCCATGGACTTGTATTCACTATTGAGGGCAGTTCGACTCTATTGGGGTGATAATGTTACGAATTAGCGAGATTTCCACTTCTACACACGCTGCCCTGCCCCCAACATCGGTCAGGAATTAAATAAATGTCTAGGGGCAGGAAAGGACGTAGAATGTGGTCAATAATTCTCTTTGTATCGAAGCGTCCCTCCTTTCCAAAGCTTCTTCCTCTTCGTTCGATATTTATTATCTTTTTTTAGTGTTAACCAATCCCCGTGAAAGATGACGATCGATCCGAAATTCTTATCCATCCTGCTAGTCCATAGCCATTCCCTATTTCCTCGTGGTATCATTTCCCCTCCTTCGGTGGAAAGTGCACCGCCAGGATCGCCGGTGACAATTAATCTATCAATCACCCGGAGCACGTAGAGGAACGGTCAAGTGGTTAACTGTGTACCGTCACTCAAATCTGGAACGGCTAAGCGCTCAAAAACCGTGGCTAACCTTCGTGTAAAGCCACGCTTGACGTGAGACAACTGCGAAACTCGAAAACCTCTTAGAAAGATTTATGATCTTTATTTTTCGTTTTGGAATCGATCACGTCCGGGAATACTGGACGTTCTCTTTTCGCGCTCTCGAATGTTTCGAGAGGCAGAGTTATACACTTCATACGGAAGCAGAAAGATTACGATCCACTGGCACAAGGGTGAATATTACCCCACCCCATCCTCCCCTTTGAACGAAACTCGAATCATCGTGTCCTAATGGATATATTATTGCAGCAAATAAATTCCGTACCCTAACGACCTTAATAGGGCGACCGTGGCATAGCAAACAAGATCATCCTTCCTCGTCCATAGAGTATGTAAATATCCGAGTGGCGAACGAAAACCGAGACAGAGTGAAGGTTCTCTAACACGACCGTATGGGAGGGGGGGTTACTTTATATGCGAGTGGGGTGCCCGGTTGGAATTGGCTTAGTCTATACCCCGAAGTCAGCTCGCTTTCGTTCCGATCCAACTGAATCGAAATGGGTGCTTCTCCCTCATCCTTCGCTAAATTTCATGAGTACTTTGTGTTTCGCCCAGAGCTATCGCCACATCCGCGCCACACGAAATCGCGTTAACCGGAAAACCGTAAAGCTGATCCGGCTTTCTATTAAAGCGTTACCATCGCCCAACGGGAGTCCCTCATTGTCGCTTCGATGTCGCGCGATTTTCACGTGGGTACAATATTTATAAAACACAAAATTCTGCTTACCTTTGACAGCTTTTCCGCGTAACTTCGATTCCTCGAGCAGCAAATTCTCGAATTCATTCTGCAACGCGATCGCCGCCCCTTGGGCGGACGTGTGCTTGCACAGAGGGGTCAATAGTTTGTCGAGTACGTCCTCCATGCTCTCTTGCTTGATCCTGATCCGCCTGGATTCGAGCATTCGCACGAACTCGATCTCTGGCGGTGTCAGGAAGATCGTCGCCGAGCCGGAGGAACCGGCTCGTGCCGTTCGACCGATTCGATGCACGTAATCCCTCGCTGACGTTGGTCCGGTGTACTGCACCACGGAATCCACTTTCGGCAGGTCCAATCCACGAGCGGCGACATCCTGAGGGAAAAAAAAGGTATCGACGGTATAGTTGGCCGCCGGGAATTAAAGAAGACTTCGATTCCAAGATTAATCGGATGATCTCAACCCCCTCCTCTCTCTCCGACGCATTGCTGCCTCGTCGTGCTTTGTACAAGAGTTTAGAGCTCTGGTCGGGATCGAGGAACGGAGATTGTGTGCACGATCCGCGGCCCGGTACAAATGTCTTACAAACCGCGTCGATTTCTCGTTTTGTACGGGGCAAGGTGAATGCGCGCGGCTGGCAGCGGCGGCGGGCGCCCGCTGTGGGACCCCAACGGCGAACGTTTGAGCACGGCCCTGATTTCCTTGCGTTCGGTTTAACCAATGATTTACCGAACGGAGCGCACATTCGAGAGGTTCTGCTTGACGGCCCTGGAGACTAATCCCGGACCACCAGTGGGGGGGCGGACGTCGTGGCCCCGAAAATTCTTTCGCGGCACGATACGGATGCGTCGCTCTCTCTCTCTTTCTCTCGCTCGTCTCTTCTCTTTTCGTATCTTTTTATTGAATTAATTCGATGTCGGTCCCTACGTCGCTTGGCGAACCAAGGCGCCAGGGTGAAGGAATACGAGACGGATCTTTGGCCTATAGAAATAAATATCGACGGACCACGATACATTCATTCAACTCCCTTGTGTTTCTTATAACCGTTAAAAGGTTCGTACGGATACATATACAAGGTGTCTCAAGAGGAAATGTTATGAATAAGATTGTATCTAGCGCAGTTGGTTTTAGTGTGTTAAACGTACGGGTTACCTTCATCCGCCTAGAATAATTAATGTTCGTAATCGTCTATGGGCGAAATCATCGGAGATATCCAATTTATCCAACCTTTTCACAATCACGATAACTGATCACCGGAAATAAGCGAGTCCGAGATTAGAATTTACCAAACGATGCTCCGATAAAGCGTAACGAGACACACGCCTACGTGTCTTCGGGATGGAACAAGCAGCGCCGTTGCCACCGGCGCGATATAATGCAACGAAAACAGGGACGAGGAGCGATCGATGGCAGCGATTAAGACAAACGATCGTTTAGGAAAGCGAGGGCCGCGCGATCGTGGGCCCGTAGGATCGAGAACGGATTGTCCGCTCAAAACATCTCACTCGGGCCATAGATCACCCGGTGGATCCGGGATTCACCACCGCTGAGAGCCGCGGAACATTCCATCCGCGGGGGCTCTTGTGAGTTTTCAACGTGAAAATTAATAACCGCTGCCATGGAATCCCCGTACAAGTGACGCGGTAAAATGTGGGCGGCCCCATGCCCCATCGTTGTTCTGTGCGTCGGGACCGACGATGTTCGGTGCCGCCCGAGCCGCCGAAATTTCATGCGAATACGAACCGAGAAATCATTCGTTCGTGAAGCATCGATCTGGGAATTCGTGTGTATATTCACTTCTACGAGAGGAAGACGCAGACGATCCGGATATTGGACGACGATTAGACGGATGAAATATTTACGTATCCCTTGATCAATCCATTCAGGGAAACTGGTTACCAATTAATACGGTCTGTGTAGGAACCAGGAGAACTAGTGTGCCGAGTCACCGTGAAACACGTGTCGAATGAACGATGCAATCGCCTGATTAAAACGAATTAATATCCTTCTTTTACCGGTGCAAGGTGTCACTCGTTGCGTGTCGCGCGGATTACAAATTTTCCGAATCCGTAGACTGGATTTTGCATTGTTCACTTTTTAAGTGGATGTAGCATGCTAAGCTCGCGTTAACCGGCCAGGAAGCGAGAGCGATACCCTCGATAATAATGAAGTTAATTATTACTATTTCTATCCTCGAGGTGTTTTTTCTATCTCGCGTCAGGATCGATCACTTTCACCGGTGTAATTACAACGGTTAAACAGTTGTCATGGAGGCACGATAGATCCGAAAGTCGATCCGCGGTTTGATCGATTTGATTTTCCTGCGTGGCACGTGGGTAATTAGGAAAATAAAACGAAAGCTAGCTCGATTTCGTTCCAACTCAGTGGAACGTGCAGAAAATACGCGTTTTGTTTCAGGCAGACGAGCTCCGAAACTAGAAAATAACGCGAACATCGGTCTGAGATCAAAAGGTGTTCACCCGACGGAATCTCACTGTCAGCAGCGGTATCATTACTGTTAAGGATTAGCTGTTACAAACGTAGAAAACAATTAAAGAACGGGGAGCGGAGGGGGGACAGGGCATAACGGACAAACAATCATAATTATGCTCGTTACGAAGGCCTCGTGTGCACGCATAATTTTTAACCTCCCGGACACAGCGTGGGTCCGGAGATATTAAATTCCGCCCTGAAAGAATAAGCCACGGGGTAATTTACTGCTCAGGGAGTGCCGCTGGCTATCCCCCCGGCTTTTCTTCTGTTCTTTCCTTCTCTTTCTCCGCACTCCGTTCCGCCCGACCAACCCTTCCCTCTCCCCGTCGTTCATACTAATTCTTGCTCTCGCGCGGAACAGTGTCATCGCTTTCATACAGCGTTACACGATCCTCTCTCGCCGTGCGCGTAACAACAATTGAAAAGTCCCTCCCTCCAGCCCCGAGGAATTCGCAAGGTATACACATGAAACTTACCGTGCAAAGAAGAACACCGCTGTCCGTCAATCTGAACGTTTTGAACACGTCCGTCCGTTCCTTTTGGGTCATGTTCCCGTGCAATTTGAAGAATTCCACGTCGACCAACGGATCGGAGTCCTCGTCCTCGTCGTCGACCGGTTTGGACAGCACCGTGGACAGAATTTCCGTATGATAATCGACCATGTCCTGGGTGGCCATGAATATTAATATTTTATGTTGTCCGTGGCTCTGTTGATCACAGAAATATCGTCAAATGTCGGTATGGAACCGGAGGTGTAACGCGCGATACGTCACTTGAACACGGTGAGTTTTACCTGACACTTCCCGGCGATGTAAGCGCTCAGGGTCACCATCCGGAGCTTTGGGGGTGTAACGATGTAAGTCTGTACCACGCTTTGTGGGACCACCAAGTCCTCGTTTAAATCGCTCAAGTCGTTCCCGGTCATTTCTAAATTCTCTTTCGCGGCGTCCACGAACACAGGATGCTCCATCGCTAGGCCAGCTAGTGTTTCCACGGCTTGTGTTAAAGTCGCGGAAAGCAAGATTGTCTGCCTTCTGGATGGATTATTACTATCGACTTCGATTTCTTTCTGTTGAGCACTGCTATTCGATACCTTGGGATCTTCTGTCTTCGAGGAACTCGAAGAAATCTTCCGTTTATCCGATTTTTTCGATTTGACGAATGGTTCCTCCTCATCTTTCTCGGAATCGTTGTCGCTACTAGAGTGGTACACAGGCCTTTGTTTATTAACTTTATCCTCGCTGTCACTTTCTAAGTCTTTTTGGTCCTCAGTTTGTGTCTCGTTTTTTGAGTCGGTACCATCTTCTATATGTTCGAGTTCCTCTTCGGTGAAAACTTTCTTTACATTCTGTCGGAGCATTTTCATCGCGTCGTAACTTGTATTCTCACCCGGAGTCGAAACTTTTAAAGCGCTCACTATTCTGAAATTATTATGGTAGTTTATTAAATGCACAGTGCATTATTCGTCTCCTGTTTGCGACTAGAACATACCCTGAAATGTCTTTTTCGTAACCCATATCGAACATTCTGTCTGCCTCGTCTAAAACGAAGTACTTAACATCTCCTAGTTTCAAGGCTGCAGTCATCTTTATATGGTCTAACAATCTACCTGGTGTACCAACTAAAATATTGCATCCCTTTCTTAACCTAGCTTTCTCTGCTTTCCTTTTTTCACCCCCTGCCAAATAACCTGGCACAATCCATGTGAATGGCTAAAATTGTATTAAAAATAGTATGTACACATCATCAATTATCACCTATATAAATTACACAACAAGCACTCACTTTTATTAACTTTAAGAAGCATTCGTACGTTTGTAAAGCCAGCTCTCTGGTTGGTACAACCACAAGAGCTTTTAAACCACTATTCCTGTTTAATTTAGGCCTAATTTTGTGCAAGAATTCTACTATTGGCAAAGCATAAGCCAGGGTCTTCCCAGATCCAGTCTGAGATCTAATTAAAACATCTTTGCCAGATAGTACCTGAGGAATTGCTTTCTGCTGTACTATTGTCATTTTAGTGATTTTCATATTTTGCTCCAAGTTGGATATAGTAAATGGATGAACATTTAGATCGGTGAAAGTTGTCCCCGCAAAGACTTGTTCATTTATTGGCTTCACGAGTCTTTGGCCAATATTTGGTATTTCAGGATTGTGACCAAATAAAGAAGACACTTTCCCAGTAGATTTATGAGAAATATGTGTTCCCTTCTCATTTTTCAGATTACTATGAGATTTCTCTATTGATTTTCTTACATGTTTTTTTTTCTTTTGATCTGTTTTCTCCATTGGGGATGAAGATTTTTTAGGTTCTGTAAATTTCTTTTTCATCTTGCTGGTATTATCAGCTGTTTCATTCAAAGATGAGAACTCTCCGGTTTCTTCTAGTTTAGATTTCTTTCTTGAAACTACATCTTCATCTGTGTCTATTTTTTTATGTAAACTTAACAAATTAGCTCCTGTGCTTGCAAGTTCATTTTGCTTTAAAAATATGCTAGAAAGTGTCTTCTTGGAATCTGTGTCTTTGATGGGTCGTTTCCTGGCTAATAATGTTTTACCAAAGTTTTCTTTTGTGACTTTGGTAAATGATATGACAGGTGCTGTAGTAGCTTCTGTATGTACAGTTGACAATGACTCATTTACATCTATATCTTTGCTACCTACAGTTGAGTGTGATTTATCTACTTCTCGCTTTGAATTTTTATGTGTGACATCATCGTGTTCTATTTTAAACTTAACTTTCTTTTGTACTGTGCTTTTTTTCAAAGGTTGCCTAATTGAACTAGCCCCCTTCAACCTTTTAGCAACAATCCTTGATAGAAACTTTTGCTTAACCCTCTTTTTAGGTCCAAAATTCGCAGACTCGAGTTTAGATTTATCATTAGTAACAACTTTACTTTTCCCTGTCTTATTTTTCTGTTGTTTCATTAAACTAAGAATAGAATCGTCAGTGTTCCCTGTTTTCTATATAAAAAAGAGCATCCCCGTTGAAACAACAGTTGAAAAACATTTCTTAACCTCTCACTTACCTTGTGCGCAGCAGGTTCTGCGGAAATATTCAAAGAAATGTCCATGTCCTGCACTGTCATCGTTCAGTCTCGTCTTCCTAATATTCACTTGAAAAACACAATTCTTAAACAGACTTAAATACGACCACGAAACAATCACTGCTTAAAAACGCGGGAAATAACCTACAAGCACATGTGTCAGTCGCACGTTCGTATTCCACCAGATTCAAATGCTACTGCGCGTGCGCGGCTTTTGGCGCGCGCGACTGGATTCGAGGCTACTATTCAAAATGCTTACATATTTGACCTGCCAATTAACGTTTGAAAAACACGCAGAGTAGATTTGATTTTCAAATTTCTTTAACGATAAATACAACGACGCACAATAGAGAACGTTTCTGTTTCCGACTGTACTTTTACGAGGGAATTATCGGATTATTTTCGCGTACAGATAATGAAATGACGCGACGCTATACAATTTAAAGCGCGCGTTTGCGCCGTCGATCGCGATCAATCGGCGCGCGATCGTCTGTACGCCGACTCCAACGAAGATTTATCACGGTATCCCGATAATCAGTGTTCATCCACGAGCCGGTACGCGATCGTGTGACATCGATCAACGAGGATCGGCGCGAGTGTTTACCCGTGGCCATGTGTGTTTACATTTTTTACGAAGCATCAGTCGAGTGTCGGCAGGCGCAGTAACGAAAATCGTGAACACAGGGACGTTCCGGCATTTCGTATTCGTGTACCATTGTATCGAGACTCCAAACGAATCAGCATGAACAGATTGTGCTGTATCGGCTACTCTTTAGCCGCGAGGATCAGTGGCACCTACACCATGGTGAGTAGTGACGGACCGATCGTGTTATTATAAAAGTTAAACTGGTTCCACCGAACGCGAGACGCGGTTACGCGAAAATGTCGAATTTATCGCTCGTGATTCGAACCCGTGAGATCCCGTCCGCCTATCAACCGTTATTACAATTTCACCTGCATACCGTTCTATTGTTGTGCACTTCTAGTCTGTCTCGATACTTATGGTTAACGTGCTGATGAGCAACTATTTCTCAAGACTGACGGACGCCAGTTTCTTCGATTCTATTCAGAATTGGGCCCTATTGGGCTTGAATTGGATGCGAGTCCTGAGGGATTTGCAGATCGAAAGGAAAGGTGAGTATCTGAACGATGGCACACATACGGAGTGATTCACGACACATGATACAATTCGACAGAATGTGAAAGGAAATTCGTAACGCTTGGTGGCCACCTTGATGGATTCGTGTTATGTATTTTGGACCACTCTGTTTTGTTCGCTTCTTCGGAAAATATCACGATTACTAATCCAAGAAATGAAATTCGTAGCGGAAACGGCCTTGGTGTTTCTTCTCTTGTACGCGATATCTTCCTTACTGGCCAGCGCGTATCTCGCTTTAGGATCAATCGCCGTGAGTATTCCTAAACTACCAAATGAATTGTCTCGTTACGAATTCGCTCGACGCGAGATATTGTACGTTCGGTAACGTTCGACGTCGTGTCGGATGGTAACGATGACAGCTCGATGCCGGATAGCGACTATAAAAGAAACGAACGTGGTCGTGTATCGAAAATGAAAGCGACACCGTACGCTTCTTTATTCGAAAGACGTATTTTCGGCACGTAGCAGCCTTGCTTAAACCACGCTAACGATCTTTCTTAACTTCCGCGTACGTTCGCAGAGGAGACCCAAGTGCGCCGTGCCTTGGATGTATTTGCAAATGATTAGCATAATAGATCAGTCTGTGGCGCTGACTATTCATCTGACGCACGGGCCGCAATACGATGTTTACGATAAATCAATGTGGTACATTCCAGTGTCCAGCGTTCATCTACGTAAGTACATTAGATATTACCTCTGGTAAACATGCTGTCGCCGCGACCGGTGCCGAGTCCCGACTGCCGACGCGATTGGACTACGCCACTCGGTCGTCAGTCGAGATTTCGCAATTATAGTCGGGCTTGGACATCGTATGTGCAAGGATCGAACGGCCCAGGGTGCACCGCTTACGTCTGATTTCTGTCGATTTAGTGTTGAGCGCGTACGTCTGGATGGTCGTGCAAGCTGCTCGAAAGGAATGGTCGGACGAGCAGCAGCAACAGCAGTCGCACCTGGATTGCAACAATTTCGATATGAGGGAAGCCACATCCCCGACACAGCCGAACGACGGCAACGGGCCGAAGACGCCGTCATTCCTCTCGCAGAACTTCGCGATGTTCAATTCACCGAGGCCAGCCACGATTCTACCGAAATAACAACCGTCACCGTACTCGTTAATTCGACAAGAAACTGGTGTAGACTCGCGGCTGCGCTTTTGCGTGTGTACGTGTGTTTATGCGCGGCGAGCTAATTGCCTAGGTAAATATCCCTCGTGCGCGTATAATTTAGGTGTATTTACCGTTTAGCAAATTTATTTATAGTTCTCAGGCTCCTCTCCTGTCTCGTTTTTCTTTTTCTTTTTTTAAACGTCAGCCAATATCGACCGATTAAATGGATATACGAAGTTCGTCGCGCGCTGTATTCCGCTCGCGGTTCACAGAGACCCACCCCGCTCCGTCGCTGGGAAAGATTCGAACCTTAAATCCGCATAATAACCATTGATCACCGACGGACTAATGGAACGTGCGCGGAGAACGGGCGAACTACCAGAACACGATGAATCTCGGCCCCCGTTACGGGGAAAATGTATAATAACGCGGGCAACTCGATAAATCAGCCACGGGGATGCGACTAATAGAGTGTATCAAATGCGACCACGGCGTAGGAGCGTGGCTGCATAGAAAATATGAGAAATGGCCGCGTTTTACGTCGAAATACTTTTAAACTTCCGGGATTCGAATCGCGCGCAAGCATATTCCCTATACGGGGGACCGTCGTCTCACTGGATGGAGGTCGATTTGTCCGAGAATGGTCGGAACTTTTCGCGAAACTCTCGGGAATAATGATCGAGCGCACAATGGCCGATAGAAAAAGTACCCCCTCCCCCATTTTCCTCTTGCCACGATTTATTTGAGGCGTTTCACCGCGTTGGCCCCCGTGCGCGATCATTCGCGTACCCAAAGAAAATTTCGAACCGCGACTTCCGGTCTATGTAATGCATCTCGCCGTCCGATCCCGCGAGTTCTTTGTATTTTTTTATCGAAAATGTGTAGCGATAATTGCAAACACTCGAGTAACCTGATAGAAGTACGAATCTTCCTCGATCGGTTGACCCGGTGATGAATCGTACGTTCGTCTCCCTCGTTTGATTCACCTAGACGTAAATGTAAATACTGATCTGTGTGTATGTATGTATGTATGTATGTAAAAATGTTGCCGGTCCGCGGTCACCAACAACTGATGTTACTTCTGCGGTACAAAATTGACGCTCGCAAAAAAAGTTCCGTAAGCTCTCCGCTGAACGATACGGCTGTGAACATGAAGGACAGACACGGAGGGGGCGGGAGAAGAGGGGGTACGCGACGTGGTTGGTTGGTGGTGCTTTTAAAAAGAACTGAGCGAGCCAATTTGTAGGCTGTCGCAAACTTTTAAAACACTAGTTGACAGCCGCCCCGCCTACGTCGCGGCCCGTGCACCCTCTCTCGACGTTCGTCCAACCACCCTGAAGGATTCCGACCAGCCATCGAACGTCTCTCTCTCGTCCTACGGCCAGAGCACACCACCCAGTCGACGCAGACGTCGACGAGGACGATAGCTCACCCCTCCGTGTCGTGGAAGCCGATGGATTGTAAAATAAAACTAACTTGGCTCTTTCGTGGCTCGAGAACGGAGTACCGGCGGAAATCTTATTCCCTCGGGTCTCTTTTATTTTCCGCGTACCCCTTTTTTTTCTCTCTCTCTCTCTCTCTCTTTCTCTCAAAACCGTCCGAGCGCAATCACGATAAAGAGACGGATAGGCTGAAGGGGGAGAGAGAAAAATAGAAAGAGTCATGTTCCCTCGGACGAAATGAGAAAGTTTTCGGTTCGACTTGATACTTACCGAAAATTGTATTCGTGGTTGTTAGATTTTTAAGATGATTTCGTGTAAGTTTTACGAGAACCCCGTGGATTTACGATTATCCCTTGAATAAACGGAAACTTGAGCTCATACACGAACCACCGAACGTTTCGATTCACGTTTCAATTTTCAACGAGGGAAAAATAAAACGCACGTCCCTTTTGCTGTTCTTCCATGGCAAGTTCGCGCGTCCACTTAAAACTAGTTTTACGTGTATCCAACGGCCAAAGAAAAGGGCAGTGAGCACGTATTGCGTCGCGCAGAAAACGTCGACGCGACGTAATTAATCTTCCTGTATGACACTTCGGCTGGTTACAGAGTGACGGTTCCCGGTAGCCAGAACACAACATACCACTTAAGCGGGGCGACGCCCAGAAAACAATTAATACGAAATTGATTAATAATTATTGCGTCCCAATTTCGGTCCCCTCGTCGCTCGCTCTTGCCAGTCACGTAACCGTGAAGAAAGAGAGAAAAAGAAAGAAGAAATTTCCTCGCCAACGTCAGATTTCCGTGGATCCCTCGCTAAGATCCGAACGCGATCGATACTCTCCGTAAAAAGAACCATTCCCTGCGCTGCGAAAGAATCCCCCCAACCCCCAACTCTACTCGAAGCTCGTCCATTCAACGAGAAAAAAACTGTAAACCTATCGAACCTTTCCCCTAAACAACGATCTCGTCCCTCTGTACTTCACGAAGTAGATTTAGCCGAACCACTACAGCCGATGTCCGGCAATAGATATTCCGCAATCTCGAAGCGAGTAGAAAATCGAAGCTTAAAACGTCTAGCTGGTCCGTCGAGTCGACGGGCACAGCCGTTCTTCCCGCTCCTTTTGTGACATTTATTTCGTCCGCCTCTGAAAACGGACAGTCGATTTGGCATTACTTTTCCAGACAGACAGATTTTATTGATCTGCCCCGTTCGTTCGCTCCCTGTCTCTGTCTCTCCCGCGGCAAGGAACAGAGAGAAGAAGAGAAACGAATCCCGATAGGAGAAAGAGAAGAGAGGGCAGAACGGCGGAACTGAACGCCCCATAAAGCTAACCAATGCTAATACTTCGAATCTTCCGCAGTGGCGTCCTTTTGCGTACGTGTGCCCTCCTGAACGACCGTTCGCCCCTGTCCAGCCGAAAATCCGTCGCGACGCCGCTGTCCTGGACCGGAATCGGCAATAAACGCGTAACCGAGCCTAATTCGTAATGTTGGCACAGTCATTGTGGCCCATTGTGAATTCACTTCCCCTGTTATTCGGGGGCCACGGGCGTACAATGCCGGGGGTTATCGCAGGAAACTGCCAGTAACGACTGTAAGAGGCACATACTCTTCCGAATAACGCTCGTATTCGTTTATCCCCCTCCTCCCCCCACGATCCCCCCTATCGAGCCGACTACGTTCAATACACATTATCTTCTCTGCGTGAAATCTGGACATCGTCTGGTAGATACGCGAAGCTTCGAGATAGAATAGAGAGAAAAGAAAGAAAAAACGAGCGGAGGACGAAATCACGGGTATCCCGATCAACGGAGTTTGTCTGCCAAGAATCGTCCGCGAATATCGGCCAAACCTCTTAGCATATGAATACGAGAGGATACATATCATTCGGCGGATCTACGTTTTTTTTTTTCCTCTCCAGCGTTCTCTCGTGAATAAAAGCCCGAACCGCGGGACCGATGACCGTTCCTCAGCCAAGAAACGACGGACACAAGCAGGAGAAATCGCATTACTTTCGAATATCTCTGTGTTGGAACGTAGGTGGGCATGTGCTCGTGTGCTTTTTTTCTCCCCCCATCGTCTTTCTCTCTAAGGAGATACGGATGAACAGCGGAGGAAATAAATTTGTGAACGAGATGGCCCGATCGAGCACAATAGCTGCGTTTAATACTACATTAAACACGGTGCGGACCGATCGAGCGGCCAGTGACCACCGTGACAAAGTTTCCCGGACAATGGGGGTGCCCCCGATCGGTGTATCAGTGCACTAGGGACGAAAACATCGACGCACGTGCGAGAAATTTTCTCTCCACTCGATGCGATCTCTCCTCCAGATCGTACACATACATATACACGCGAGTTTCAATTTCCCCCGAATACTTTTCCCATCGATTTTACAAAGAAAAACGCATGATTGATGCGCGAACAGGATTCGGAGCTGGAGTTTCACTTCGACCGCCATAATCGGGCCTGACTGCGTGATATTTCATGTCAAATTGTATCGCCGTGTTAAGCTAGATTAGGCCGATCATTATCCACCGGCGAGGAAAGAACGAGCGAAAACGAGGCTCCTTTCGATCGACTTCCGGCGTCCCGACGAGCGCTTTCCACATTCCCTCGCGTCTGTGTGAGTGGTGTGTGTCTCTACTATGTGAAGCAATCGAGCACTGCCTCGTTATCCTGCCGCGCGTAATTGATAATCGGTAATTGCCGGCAGTTGTCCGGCAGCAATACGGTCTCTCGTAGCTTTCACGATCGTTGCGTCTATCCATGTACCGATACCGATTCTCAGGGGGTGGTTTTCAAGACTTATTCGACGTCTATCGTTCGGAAACTGAACATCGTCGCTCGAGTAGCCGAAGATCGATCATAAAACGGGGTACGGGGTGAGTATGTACCGCTGACTGGTTATCTAGTCGGTCGATTCAAAGTAGCGGAAGCGCCGCGCTGCGAGGGGCAGGTCGGAAGAAGCCGGTTTTCGTCGAGAATAGCTGCCGTGGGTGTCGAAGGGACACGGGGCTCGGAACGAGGCCGCAATTAGGCGGTCCCGGGGTCGACGAGCACACCGACACGAGGTCGGGCATTATGCAAAGCAGATTTTAAATTTAGATGTGGCCCACCGTGCCCACACGGGTTGATATACGTATACACCCTCGCCGGGGCGCGTAGCTTCGACTACTTCGCGGAGCGTTTCGACTACAGAAGTACAATACACGTGTGTAGTATGGTCACACGGACGGGTGAGAAGACACGCGAGAGGAAGCAGTGGGGGCCTGGAGGGTGTGAGAGCGTGGGTCGTGTCGTGCTCGACAAATTAGCGCGTTTTAAATCCAATCCGTGCCGAAAGGGGAGGGAATCGTTACGGAGGAGAGCCACGGGGGTGGAGGATGGCGGTGGAGGAGGAGAACGAGGGATACTCGACGAGCTGTTTTGCATTTCTGGCTCACGCGCGAACACCATCCAACATTTGAGGTGTAAAATATTAAATCCAGGCGCCTCCGCCATATCGCCTACGTCCTCGTGAAGAGGCGGATGGAAACGGTACGCGGATCGGGACGGGGGTGCGAAGGGGTCCGTTGCCTAGACGGGGTAGGAGAGAGGGCGACTGGCTCTGCGGCGCGCACTCAGCGAGTTTACATTTAAATGTAAAAGTGCCGAGTGCTGCTACGCGAAAGCTGCTGTTTTGCATTCGAAAGCTCATGATTGCCTCTGAGCTTTGCTTTTGACGTCGAGCGTTTCTCGCTGTCGACGGACGACGAGTAGAGGACGCGCTCGTACGTTCCACGGGATCCGCGATGTAATGCCGCGAATACCGGTTTCGGACGGATGGAACGAGGCTCCCTCGGATCCTACCGGAACAAATCCACGCAAACGGAATGGTGGATTCTTTCCAACCGATTCTGTACTCGAATTATCACCCAACGAGACCTATTAACCGTGTTACGCTCCTCCTGCTGCAGGAGATTCAACAAATTTCGGTTCATGTATGTACATACTCGAACATATACCCAATTCGCTCGAATAGTCGATTCGGATTTTGGCCTAGTATTCTCGGAGAAACCGCGGCAGCTTCTACCGACGTCCGACGACATCTCGTAATTTCGTCCCGTCGTTCTACATAACCCGACGATATTTTCCCCCGTTTTTACGAGCGACCCCGTCTTTCGGGGAACGTCCGGAATAGTTTTTCGAACGCCACACGATTCACTGACACACATACAGACACGTACACACAGCCGCACGTACACGATTTATTTCCGGGCTCTAATCAATTCTGGGAACGGAACGTCGTCCGACGACGGGGTTACGAGTGAACGAGCCCCGCTGTTATTCTTCTAATATGTATGTTTCTTATGAGCGCCGGTAAAAGGGCTCCGTGCAATTTCCTATGATAGATCGAGTCCCGCGGACAAGTTCCATTACGGGCAGCCTCTGAATTATTGAACTGGCAATTCCCCGGCGACACGAGGGACACCCCGCGTCCAAGTGTCAACGGGCTCATTAAGCCTGCAAATCAGGTGTACTAACGCGTTAACAGTTCCGCTCGTGTGTTACCCACGATGACAGAGTGACAAACTTTTATTCGCCGTGAAACAACCCAACAACTGTACCCCGGTGACGAGATCGGGGTGAATTTTTCTATGGTCGTCGTCGATGATACCACGATTTTATCGGTAGCATCGAAAATATTCAAAACTATCAAAGTGTACGGTTACACGAGCGACGGGATCGTAAAGTGTCTTCTTTCCGATAAGTCTCCTCTTGGCGGTGAAACAGGGACGTGTATTTGCATTATGATAGATCGAAAAACAGAGGCTGCACGATAAAACGGTAGGGCCGCCTCTAATCCCTTGAAATAGGACCTGTTACTGCAAACTACGGTATCTGCGATCGCGATCGCTGTCTCTGAGAGAGGAAATGAGAGAGAGAGAGAGAGAGAGACGTATATACACGTGATCGTTATCAGAAGTCGCCCTTCTGGTCCATATGCTGGGTTAATAAGAGCCCTAATAACGGGTGCCACCCCATCGATACGTAGGGGCTGTCACTAAATATTTTTCTTCCCGAACGGTTGCTCTGGGAATTCGGCCGTGGCGCGATGCTTTGATACGCTGATACATATGTCGCGAACGGGTGACGTATTTTCCGGGAAGCATCGATCCGTTCTCTTGCAAATTTCATCTCTGCGACATGGCTGGAGCAAAAATCTCTCTCTTCCCCGCAACCCGCGACGCTAGTACTAATCGATGGCAAATAAACATCATCTTGGGAGTCTATCCTGAGTACCACCACTCATTTTTCTTTCGTGACTCGGCTGTTTTAACGTAGAAACATCTCAATTCCCGGAGATCAGGAAGATAGGATACGACCGAGGCGGC